CATTTGACAAAACTGCATTTACTTCATTGGGCCACTAGGTGATGAACAACTCACAAAGCCAGACTTCCAGGGATGGTTGTGTATAGGAGTTTCTGTTTATACGTGAAAGGCCATCAGAAGTCATCTGGTTCAGCCTCATTAAAAGGTCTTTTTTGGGGGAGGGAAGACATGTCTTGTGTACACTTTGTCTTTTCCAGCTTTGCTCCAGTTTTAAATATTAATTTGAATAGGATGTTTCTTTCTGTGAGTGATTTTCTTAGAAAAGGGGCATGGATGGTACTTTGAAGGTCCTTATATGTCCAATTGTGTGTGTACAATGTGTGTATGTATATTTTTGTAAGAGTTTATTTATTTATTTGGGAAGATTTTACTTATCCATTTTATAGGAGAAAGGGGAAAAAATCATGTGTGCATTCAAGTCGGGGAAGGGAGAGGGGAAGGACAAGCTGAGCACAGAGCCTGAAGTGGGGCTCAATCTCATGGTCCCAAAATCTTGACCCCAGCTAAAATCAAGAGTTGGACACTTAACTGACTGAGTCACCCAGGCGCCCCATGTGTTTATTCACAGGTAATGTCTCCACCCAGTGTGGGGCTCAAACTTACAGTCCTGACATCAAGAGTCACATGTTGTACCAACTGAGCCAGCCAGGCACTCCTGAATTTTACCATAATGTAGGAATGATGTCTTGGCTGGGTTTAGGATTCTTAAATAGTAGTTCTAGTCACTACAAAGTCTGTATGCAGCTTTCTGCTGTATTCAGTATCTAGTGATACAGATGGGAAGTCCAGTGCCAATAGGATTCTAAGTAATTACCTGTTCTTTCTCTTTGGAAGTTTGTAAATTTTTTCTTGCTTAGCATTTCATCTTGATACGCTTTAGGTGTGTGTCTTTTTTTTTTTTTTTTTTTAAGATTTTACCTATTTATTTGATAGAGTGCTCGCTTCGGCAGCACATATACTAAAATTGGAATGATATTTATTTGACAGAGAGACAGCAAGAGAGGGAACATAAGCAGGGGGAGTGGGAGAGGGAGAAGCAGGCTCCCTCCTGAGCAAGGAGCCTGATGTAGGGCTTGATCCCATGACCCTGGGATTATGACCTGAGCTGAAGGCAGACGCTTAACAACTGAGCTACCCAGGCACCCCCAGGTTTGTGTCTTTTTAAAATAACTCTGCTTGGCACTTATTGAACTGTTTAGACTTAAAAATTTGTCTTGTCGGGGCACCTGGGTGGCTCAGTGGGTTAAGCCTCTGCCTTCGGCTCAGGTCATGATCCCAGGGTCCTGGGATCGAGCCCCGCATCGGGCTCCCTGCTCAGCGGGGAGCCTGCTTCCTCCTCTCTCTCTCTGCCTGCCTCTCTGCCTACTGTGATCTCTCTCTGTCAAATAAATAAATAAAAAAAAATCTAAAAAAAAAAAAAAAAATTTGTCTTGTCTTAGTTCAAGGAAGTTTTATTGCTTTCCTTCCACCTGTTTCCAACCTCCTCCATTTATAGATGAGGAAACCATGTCCAGAAAGGTTAAGCTACTTGTTCAAGGTCACTCAGCTAGTTAATAGTGAACCTAAGCAAATAATTTGATTTCTTCTTTTTATTTAAGATTTTGTTTATTTGATAGTGAGAGACACAACGAGAAAGGGAATACAAGCAGGGTGAGTGGGAGAGGGAGAAGCAGGCCTCCCGTCGAGCAGGGAACCTGATTTGGGGCTCGATCCCAGGACCCTAGGATCATCACCTGAGCTGAAGGCAGATGGTTAACGACTGAGCCACTCAGGCGCCCCAATAACTTGATTTCTTTGATGAACTAGACTTTCATTGTAATGAGTATTGCTCTGTTGAGAGGCCCATCATGGAAAACGTGGACATTTTTTAGTGAGACAGGAATTTTGCTGAGGGTTCATGGGGAGCTGAAGGAGGAGGAGATGATAAAGTTCATTATGATTAAAATGTGGCCCATTTGGGGTGCCAGGGTAGCTCTGTCATTTGGGTATCTGACTCTTGGTTTTTGCTCTGGTTGAGATCTAAAGGTCATGGGATCAAGCCCAGTGTTAACAGAGTTTGCTTGGGATTCTCTCCACGTCTTTTCCCCTTCCCCTCTACCCCTCCCTCCCCCTAGGATGAGGAGATAAATAAAATCTTAAAAAAAAAATGTGGCCCATTTGAAGGGCTATAAAAAATTCACAAGGTATCCCAGTCACTGGAGTTACCCCAGAGCTCTAAAACTTAATAAAGCCAAGAAGTTAATTGAACACGTGGAGAATTAGATATCTAATTGTCAGGAGCTGGACAAGCATGGCCATGCCCGGTTGTAAATATTGGAAAACATAAATATCTGAAGGCTTGGAGACAGACATCGTAAACTGTCTTATCAGTGGTCTGGTTTCTGTTTTGAGTTCCAGCCTGGGACCCTTTTCTGCTGGGAACCACCTGTTCTGGCTGTGTTGATCTTTGGACTTCCCCAGCTCTCAGTCCCTTTCAGTTTTGAAATGAAACCTACCCCAGAGGGTGAGGTCAGGTACCGAGAGGACTTTGACAGCTCACACCCCGTTGTTTTTTTCTAGAGTCTGGTATGTACTGTGTGAAGTATAAGGCTCAGTGGGCTGTGATATAGACTAACTGATGGTGAATCAGCTGTTGGGTAAGGCTCAGGTAGTGCTATTTCTTTGGGTAACCAGGAAAACATGTAGACCAAATATGGTGTCTTTTATCCTTAGACAGTTGAACGTTAAAGAGTACAGTCATCAGAGATCTGCCATGGTCTTGCTCTCTTTGGTTTACTGAAGAAGGAAAGGCATCGTTTCAGAGGCTTTTCTCCTCACTTTTAGAGCCTCCTTTCTTTTTAGGAAGGAGCCAAGTCCTTGTCTTCTTTCTGCTGCTCCAGCTTCTAAACGTCTATACCGTGCCTCCTGGAATTGCTGCTTTAATGTGAAGTGACTCCTCTAGGTACCCCTAGACACACATACCCACCATGTGCTGCCCCCACTCCCTTCACAGAATTTGGCTTCCCCTCTTCCATTTGTTGTGAAACTCGTTTCCACTATACTACAGCACTTGGCTTGGAATCTTTATAATTGGTACTGGCTATTTATTTATTTATTTGACAGACAGAGATCACAAGTAGGCAGAGAGGCAGAGAGAGAGAGGAGGAAGCAGGCTCCCCGCTGAGCAGAGAGCCTGATGTGGGGCTCGATCCCAGGACACTGGGATCATGACCTGAGCCAAAGGCAGAGGCTTTAACCCACTGAGCCACCCATGCACCTGGCTCTTTTTTTTTTTTTTTTTTAAACTCACCGCATACCACTTCCCCCTGATTTTACCTGACTGTCCTGCAGCCACATCCCTCAGTTTTGCAGAGCTGCTTATAGACCTTCAAATACCTTTCTCCATTGAGACTTTTACTGGGCAGCAAGGCTGCTGGATCCCTGTCCTTGAGATTGGTTGACATCTGTACTCATTCTCCCATGGTGGTTTGTTGTTATTTTTTTAAAGATTTTATTTTTTATTTTTTTTTAAGATTTTATTTATTTATTTAACATACAGGGAGAGACAGTAAGAGAGGGAATACAAGCAGGGGTAGTGAGAGAGAGAAAAGCAGGCTCCCCACTGAGCAGGGAGCCCAATGCGGGGCTCTATCCCAGGACACCAGGATCACGACCTGAGTGGAAGGCAGATGCTCAGCGACTGAGCCACCCAGGCGCCCAAAGTTTTTATTTTTTAAAGTAATCTCTACACTCAATATGGGGCTCAAACTCAAAACCCCAAGATCAAGAGTCGCATGCTCTATTGACTGAACCAGCCAGGTGCCCCTCATTCTTCCATGTTTGTTTAAGACTTTGGTGTCTGACTTTTCCTCCTGGGACTCTGGCCCAGCCTAGGGGGGGATTGGTGGTAAGGCTTGGCCTGGGTCTAGTGATTCAGGGTCTAGGGATTCAGTTCAGGCTTGGCCTCGGTCTAGTAGACCATAGAATTAGGGAGCTTCGTGTTAATATCTTAGATGTGGGGAGATGGGAAGCCTTAAGATCTGAACACCAAGACCATTGGAGGTGAAAGGGACAGAAAATTTAGCATCTGAAACAAAGGATATCTTTTGTAGGCTCCCATTTAAAAAATTAAGAGTTTTTTTAAGGGGGTGCCTGGGTGGCTCAGTGGGTTGAAGCCTCTGCCTTCGGCTCGGGTCGTGATCCCAGGGTCCTGGGATCAAGCCCCGCATCCGGCTCCCTGCTGGGCAGGGAGCCTGCCTCCCTCTCTCTCTCTCTGCCTGCCTCTGCCTACGTGTGTTCTCTGTCAAATAAATAAATAACAAAATCTTAAAAAAAAAAAAAAGAGTTTTTTTAAGAACAGTTTTAGGTTCACAGCTAAATTGAGGGAAAGATACAAAGACTCCTGTTATTATTATATTTGAGTAAGATTTGTGCCCAAGGTGGGGCTCAAACTCATGACCCTGAAGTCAAGAATCACATGCTTTAGCAATTGAGCCAGGTAGGCGCCCTGAAAAATTGATCTTTTTGAAGAATTGATCTTTATTTTATAGGGAATGTAGTAATATGATATAATCTAAAAAAAATAAAATCATATTTTGAATTCTCCTGCTCCCCCTGTTATTTTTGTGTTCCTTGGAGGTGGTAACCTGTTAGTGTTTGGAATTTGTACATACCGGACTTTTTTCTGTTTACATATATATGTATGAAACCAGAAAAGTGTAATTTTTGTGTCTTATTTATACAAATGAGGTCACATTTTATGGATCACTTTGGCATTTCTCTGATTCAGTAAGGTGTCTTGACAGTATTTCATGTTGGTACAAAAAGATACTTCTCATTGATTTTGGCTACGGTATAATATTTTATAGTATAGGCAGATATGCTAAATTCAGTTATTTTCCTATTGAGAGACATTAAGGTATTTCCATTTCTTTGTTGTTATGAGCGATTCTTACTGTGTTTTAAGTGTCAGTGTTCTTTTCTTAGGCCTTTTGTCTTCTTTTCTCATGCTGCTTTTCTAGGTGATCTCAACCTTTCTGACAGCTCCACTTAACCGTCTGCATATGGATGATGCCCACCTCTGTCTGCAGACCAGTGTCCAGCTGCTCACGTGGCCGGCATCACAGGGATATTGTGCACACTCACCACTGTGTGGCCTCCCGCTCCTTACTTGCCGCCTCACCTGGTGTCCTGTCACATGGTAAACACCACGCAGTTATTAGGCCCAAAAGACTTCCCTTCCCCTCCCACATGCCAACAACCAGCATGTCACTGGGACTTTTCCTCCCTAGTATTTCTTGAATCCATTTGCTTTCTTTTCTTCTTCATTGCCACTATCTTGTACCTTAGTTTTATGGATTTACAAAACAAGAGTACTTCTGAGTATTAAATAAATTAGTAACACGTAAAATGCTTAGAAAAATAGATCGGCTCCCAGTAAGTGCCATGTGAATGTTGTTATCATCATCACATCGTCGTTGTGGGGTTCTTCTCATCTTAGTGTACATGATACCTTTTGGTCTCTACCTCCAGTCTTGGTTTTATCCTTCCCCACCTCCATTCCACTCTGCACATTGCAGCCAGAGTGATCTTTATAATATATATGAATGTTCATGGTCTAACTTTCCTGCTTAAAAAACTTCCATGATCTTGCTTTTACATGATTTGTCACCCCCACCTAAAATGCTTTTCCCCTTGATCTTTGAATGACAGCTTTTTAGGGGTTTCTTGTTGTTGTTTTATTTTGTTTTGAGATATATGTTTTTATTTTATTTTTATTTTTTCTAAAGATGTTGTGTATTTGACAGAGAGCACAAGCAGGGGGAGCTGCAGTGGGAGAGGGAGAAGCAGACTCCCCACTGAACAGGAAGCCTGATGAGGGGCTTGATCTCAGGACTCTGGGATCATGAGTTGAGCCAAACTGATTGGCTTAACTGATTGAGCCACTCAGGCACCCTGAGATACTAGTTTTTAAATGTCATGTCCTCAGAGAGGCCTTCCCCTGACCACTTAATTATTCCAAATTAGCCACCCATATCCTTTCCGCTATATCACCTATTTTAATTCTTTCCATAGCACTTAATATGTGATTTTTTTCTAGTTTATTCATGTATTTGTTTATATAGTCTCTTTCAATTAATATTTATGTATATATGTATGTATGTATGTATGTATGTATTTGTTTTTTTTAAGTAGGCTGCATGCCCAGACTCAGATCAAGGGTTGCGTGCTTTACTGACTGAGCCAGCCAGGCACCTTGGTCTCCTTCAGTTAGAATTAAATTCTCTGAGAACAGGAAGGAATGTTGTCTGTTTTATTCACTCTTACATTTCTTGTATGTATAACAATGTCTGGTACATTGTAGGCACTCAGTGAATACTTGTGAAGTGAATTATAAAACAGTTTCATACGTATTATGAAGCCCTTTTTGGTCTCTCCAGCATCTTCTGCTTCAGGACACCCTCTGCTTTGGCCTCTCCACTCCCCAGCTCATCCCATCTCTTCAGATGTGTTTTCTTGCTGCAGGACCTTTGCATATGCTATTCCCTCTACTTAGAACACTTTTTCTCAAGTGCCCAGCCTCTGCCTGGGTATCTCCTATTTATCCTTCATGTTTCAGCTTAAGTCTAACTTCACTTGACTGCCCTTCTTAGTCTTACAGCTCTACATGCATTACCTTTAATTATACATACCGTAATTATTTGTCTGTCTCCCTCACTATATGGTAAATTTTGTTGGGCAAAGACATATGTCTTATTCACCATGTATTCTTAGTCGTAACTGCTGTGGGCTAGAAGCATCTCTTGAGGTGGGGTGCTGGATAGGAGTACCCAGAGTACCAATTGAGGGCTAAGAAGGTACGCCTTTGAATGTCAGGGTAAGGTCTGGTCATTTGGCCCTGGCTCATTGTCATTCTTCTTATTCCATCTTTTGTGATCCCAGTGTTTGCCTGGATGAACTATCTAACATGCTTGAGATGAATCATCTAAAACACTGTCTTTCTCTGAGATATATTCATAAAAATCAGTGTACCTGGCAGAGGACTTGCCCAGGAATGGGACATGAGTGCTAAGGATAAAAGTTGCGGATCTGGGTAGGCAGCATATTTACTCTGAGTGGCTGATGGCGGTATAACTGAGAGTGGAGTGCACTTCTATGCAAGGAAGGAAGCAAAAGGCCTTAGGGATAAGGTGAGGCAAAGATGAAACAGGAAGCTGAATCATTAATTCAGAAACCTAGAGAATCAGGATAATGGGTGGAGTGTAAGAATGGACAGGGCAAGCAGTTCACGATTAAGGCCATAAATAATCTTGGGGATTACTTAAATAATCTTTTGGCATTCTTACCTCTTTAGTGTGGAACCAGCTTTTGGATTAGAAGGAGGATCAGGTAGTTGACATACAAAGGTTTGAACTAGATTGCCTATAACTTTGTATTTTATGTGTTAATTATCTGAAAGTCAGATCCTCAGAAATCCTACTGTACCTTTTCTCACACTTCAGTTTCTGCTCATTTTTAAATATATTAGGTTTAACTAGCTAATCTTTGGAAAAGTTTCCTGTAGCAATCCATCCTGGTGCTCCCCTTAGGTAGGCTGAGGATACTCCCTTCAGATAGGGTGAGCACTCCTTCAGGCTGTACCTCCTCCCACCAGACCATGCCTAGGAGCTGGCCTCAGCAGCCTCAGGAGTTCAGGACTCTGCCTAGCCTGAATCTGTGGATTTCTGTCTGAATTTTGGGGAGGGACACGAAAGTGTAAAATATAGGATGGGATTCTGTCAGTGAGGCATGGTAGAAGTAGTGGAAGACTGGCCGGGTGTGCATAGATGTAGGATCTGAAGGTGTATAGGTGGTGGTTTTCGAAGTCTCTGACGTGGAATGGTCGTTGAGTTTATGGCAGTGTTAGGTGCTCTGATGTGCCAAGTGGAGAATCTTGGTGAGTGGTGCCTGCCATTAGCCCTTTGGGGTGTTCTGTATGTTTTCTGTGTGGCCTGAAGGTCTGCTACAGAGTGGTAGCTGGCTTCATGGTGGTTGCTTGGTGAGGAGGAGTCATGGGGATAGGAACAGTACTTACTGAAGATGGGTATGTTTTCTTTGAAGGTTGGATAGAGTGATTATGTGCACATCCTGGGCAGTCTAAGGCCAGTCACCTTGCCTCTGTGAGGCAAGGCATCTATCTGCACTCTCCTCCTAGGGTTTTGCTGGGAAAAGCGGCCTAAGAGAGCCAGAGATCATGGCCATAGTTAGTGATTCCCTCGAGAATGCTCCCTGTCTTTGACTCCTCTGTTCTCTAAGCCTTATGCTCTGATGTTCTGCCTTCTATTTGCTGCTTTGGTATCTTCAAATTCTTCTTTCTTTCTTTCTTTTTTTAAAGATTTTTATTTATTTGACAGACAAAGATCACAAGTATGCAGAGAGGCAGGCAGAGAGAGAGGGGGAAGCGGGCTCCCTGCCAAGCAGAGAGCCCGATGCAGGGCTCAATCCCAGGACCTCGGGATCATGACCTGAGCCCAAGGCAGAGGCTAAACCCACTGAGCCACCCAGGTGCCCCTGATTTGTTTTTTAAATAGAAACATCAGGGCGCCTGGGTGGCTCAGTGGGTTTAAGCCTCTGCCTTGGGCTCAGGTCATGATATCAGGATCCTGGGATCAAGTCCTGCATCAGGCTCTCTGCTTGGCAGGGAGCCTGCTTCCTCCTCTTTCTCTCTCTCTCTGCCTGCCTCTCTGCCTAGATGTGATCTCTCTCTGTCAAATAAATAAATAAAATTCTAAAAAAATAAAAAAAATAGAAACATCACTTTTAATGACCAGTTAGGGCCATAGCAGACAGCTTCCAGAATAGAAATAAGACAGTCCCAAGACAACGGAGTGTAAAATCGTCTCAGATAGTTAATAAAAATATGGACCGCTTTACGAATTTGTGTGTCATCCTTGTGCAGGGGCCATGCTAACCTTCTCTGTATTGTTCCAATTTTAGTATGTGTGCTGCTGAAGCAAGCACAGGAATCTGCATTTTGATTGCCTCTCAGAGGACTCTGACTACAGTCATCATCTGCAGACCATATTTGGAGAAACTGACAGAGGATTCCACTGACCTCCCATCTCTAAAGGGGAAGAAAGGGGATTTGAACACTTTACTTGGATCTAAAGGTCCTAAGAAACCCAGTCTGTCATCCAGTGGGAATAATGGATAACTGCGTGTACCGGCACCTCATCTTCTCATTGCCACAGTAGATGCAGAACCAGATGAGGTAGACAAGGGCTTCATGACTAAACCATGGCAGGTCAGTAGCTCTGGGATTTACAGGAAGCTTTGACTTTGGACTCAGAAAACAGGCTAGAACATGGACCCTGAAGGCTACTGGTCGCGTGGCAGATTTTCTCAAGGGTGCCTCTCTTTTCCTGTGTACGTTGACTCTATCCTAGTGTAGGTTTTCTTTATTTGGTTCCCAAGCTGTCTTCACTCCCCGTTGTTGCTATTGTATACACCCAGCTGCCTCTATCCTTCTATTAGAACCTTGTCTTTCCTTTTCAAGTCCTCTGTTACATTCCTGTTACCTATAGGATCAAGTCCAAATGTCTTGGGTTGTAATAAACGGCCTTACACAATTTGGCCCAAATTATGACCTATAAGATCGAGGATGATCTGGTCCCTGCCTTTTTCTCAGGTCTTATCCCAAGCCCTTCTCTCTCATCTCCTGGGCACCCTTATCTGTTCACAGTTCCTTGATCGCTTCTTTTGCTCTCTGATTTCAGAGCCTTTGTAGTGCTATAGCCTCTGCCTAAGACTATAGCCTTTACCCTGCTCTTCACCTCATTAACTATTCCTTACTTTTAAGTGTCAGTTAAACATTATCTCCTCTTATTTTTTTTTTTTTAAAGATTATTTATTTATTTGACACAGAGAGAGAGAGAGAGAGAGGCACAAGGAGGCAGAGCAGCAGGCAAAGGGAGAAGCAGGCTCCCTGCTGAGCAGGGAGCCTGATGTGGGGATCAGTCCCAGGACCCTGGGATCATAACCTGAGCTGAAGGCAGATGCTTAACCGACTGAGCCCCCCCAGGCGTCCCCACATTATCTCCTCTTAGAAGTTTTTCTGGCCATTCTATACAAAGCAACTCAATGTTACTTTTTATTTATACTTCATTTGCTTCCATTAGACCACTTACTGCTTTTTACTAGTTTGTCTTTCTCTCCTATTAGATTATAAATTCCATGAAGGTAGGGACCTTCTTGCTCATGGTTGTATCTTCAGTGCTTAGAGGTACTTGGGAAGTACTTGTTGACTATAAATTACTTTTTACCTTCTTGTCAGTAGCTGTGGGGTGCTTTGTGGCCCTGCACAACTCTCACCCTTTGCATGTATTATTGCCTCTGCTGAAGGCACCCTTTCTCTCATTACCTGGTCAGATTTTTTTCTTGATCTTTTCCACTTCCCTAAGCAAGTCTTTGACTAAGCAGAGCTAGTTCAATAGAGATAGCTCTTTGGTTCTCTCAAGTGGATTTCCCTGTGTAGTTATTTCATCTGTATAAGAGATAGATGGTATTGCCCTGGGTTTGTAGATGATAAACCAGAAGCTCTGAGCAGTAGATTAACTTGGAAATGGCAGAACTGAGATTCCAGCCCCATTGTATGCATAGAGCCCTCACTCATTCTGCCTTGCTGTGATCTAAAAGAAACCAAATAGTAGACTGAGAGACACTGAAGTGAAAGAGATGTTTTTGTTTTTTTTTTTAAGTTTTTTTTAAGACTTTATTTATTTATTTGACAGATAGAGATCACAAGTAGGCAGAGAGGCAGGAGAGGCGGGCAGAGAGAGAAAAAGGAGGAAGCAGGCTCCCTGCTGAGCATAGAGCCCGATGCGGGGCTCGATCCCAGAACCCTGAGATCATGACCTGAGCCGAAGGCAGAGGCTTATTAACTCACTGAGCCACCCAGGTTCCCCAATGTTTTTTGTTTTTTAATTGAGTAATGAAAGTGTGTGTGGGGGTGGTGGTGGGGGTTTATTTGTCTTACACTTTTTCAGAGTTAAACCCAGTAAAAGGTATACTATTAAGAAGCAATTTATAGGGGTGCCTGGGTGGCTCAGTGGGTTAAAGCCTCTGCCTTCGGCTCAGGTCATGGTCCCAGGGTCCTGGGATCGAGCCCCGCATCGGGCTCTCTGCTCAGCGGGGAGCCTGCTTCCTCCTCCTTCTCTCTGCCTGCCTCTCTTGTGATCTCTGTCAAATAAATAAATAAAATCTAAAAAAAAAAAAAAAAGAAGCAATTTATAAGGATGATGGAGTAAAGGGTGACCAGAATATTCAGAGGACAATGTGTGTTCTTTTTCTGTTTCTTTTCTTTAAGATTTTATTTATATACTTGAGAGAGAGAGCGCATGAGAGGAGAGAGGGTCAGGGGGAGTAGCAGACTCCCTCTTGAGCAGGGAGCCCGATGCGGGACTGGATCCTGGGACTCCAGGATCATGACCTGAGCTAAAGGCAGTCACTCAACCAACTAAGCCACCCAGACGCCTCTCCTGTGTTTTCTTGATCATCTTTGGTGACAAACAGTCAACATATACCCTAGTAGAAATAAGTCAAGGTGAAACACTATTAAATTCAAACCAAAGCAAGTATCAGTGGTCATTAATAGTTGCTTGGAGGATATATAAAGAGTTAAATCTGAATATTTTTGTTAAGGGAGAAAGATATGCAAAATTGGTATGCATAGTCTTTAACACATTTTGCTTAAAAATACATCTTAGTATGTATTGTTAAGATACTAGTTGAATAGGGCGCATGAGCGGCTCAGTGGGTTAAAGTCTCTGCCTTTGGCTCAGGTCATGATCCCAGGGTCCTGGGATCGAGCCCCACATCAGGCTCTCTGCTCAGCAGGGAGCCTGCTTCCTCCTTTTTCTCTCTCTGCCCGCCTCTCCTGCCTCTCGGCCTACTTGTGATCTCTGTCTGTCAAATAAATAAATAAACTCTTTGAAAAAAAGAAAAAGATACTAGTTGAATAGGGATGCCTTGGTGCCTTAGTCAGTTAAGTGTCTGCCTTTGGTTTGAGTCATGATCCCAGGGTTCTGGGATCGAGTACCACATTGGGCTCCCTGCTCAGTGGGGAGCCTGCTTCTCCCTCTGCCTGCTCCCCCTGCTTGTTTTCTCTCTCTGACAAATAAATAAGATCTTTAAAACAAAAATACTAGTTGAATAAATTGTAGTGGATATTGCCATATTATGTAGTTTTAAGAAGAATGAGACATATAGGCACATACACACTCACATCCTGATATGGAACAATCTCTGAGATCCATTATTAAGGCAAAGTGCAGAATAATGTTTGTGGCATGCTAGTATTAGTATTTGTATGCAAAAGGGGAAGATTCTGTCTACTTATTATACCCAGATTACCTCTTCTTTGTTTTGTTTTGGTTTTTTGTTTTATTTTTAAAGATTTCTTTGAGAGAGAGAATGTATATGTGTGCGAGACAGAAAGTGGGGGGAGGAGCAGAAGGAGAGGGAGAGGGAGAGAATCTCTAGCAGACTCCCCACTGAGCACACACAGCCCACGACCCTGAGTTCAGTCTCACGACCCTGAGATTATGACCTGAAACGAAATCAAGAGTTGGATGCTTAACTGACAACCAGCCAAATATCCCAAGTTTTATAAACTTTTTAAGTACTTTGCTTTACCCTCTAAAAGTGATCCTAAAAAGTTGAATGTAAATGTGTGTGTGTGTGTGTGTGTTAACAGGGATTGGCTGGAGAGGTATTAAGTTATATCTCTCTAAACTTCACAGAAAAGAGGAAGAAGGAAGATCCTTTCTGTCTAGTGAATGGTCCCTAACTTAATGTATTTCGATTTTGGTAAATGACATTTTTCCTGAAGTGAAACACATTTCTACTGAGAATAGAACAAAAGGGAGATTGTGTTTGAAATTGAAGATACCCGTGTGTGTCAGGATACCCCATTATTTGTTTATCTGTTCTCCTGTTTGTGCACTAGAAATCTTGGAGCCCCCATCTATAACATGTTTGCTGTGTGTTGATTTTGTTTTTCCAAATGGAGTAAATTCTTTTTTTTTTTAAAGATTTTATTTATTTATTTGACAGAGAGAAAGAGATCACAAGTAGGCAGAGAAGCCGGCATCAAGAGAGGGGGAAGCAGGCTCCCCGCTGAGCAGAGGGGTGGGGGGCGCAGAGGCTTTAACCCACTGAGCCACCCAGGCGCCCCTGCTTTTTATTTTTTAATATTTAATCTGTTTATCTTATCTGTTATCTATGGGACCTTCCCTGACTCCCTTACTTAAAATTGTAGCAAACCCCCTTTCTTTCCTATCTCCCTTCTCTCCTTTGTTTTTCTCTTGTTTTTCTCTGTAGCATTTAACACCACTTGATACACTGTATACTTTTACTTGTTTATTGCCCAACACCTTCCATTAGAATGTAAGCTCCATGAAGACAGAGACTTTTTTCTTCTTTTTTTTTATTCACTGCTCTCTGTTATGTAGGACAGTTCCTGGCACACAGTTGGTATTCAGTAAATATTTGTTGAATGAATGAATTTGTTGGACTTCCGGTGTATTTGTTGGACTTTTTATTGGCAGTATTTTTTTTTTTTTTAAGTAATCTCTGCGCCTATTGTGGGGCTCAGACTCAGGACCCTGAGATCAAGAGTTGCACACTCTATTGACTGAGCCAGCCAGGTGCTCCCATTTGCTGTATTTTTGTTATTATATACATGCTGTGATAAACGCCCTGTATAACTGTATAAGTAAACACTTGTCTACTTATCTTAGGATAAATTTTTTTTTTTTTTAAGATTTTATTTATTTATTTGATAGAGTGAGAGAGAGAATGAGAGGGGAGAAGGTCAGAGGGAGAAGCAGACTCCTCATGGAGCTGGGAGCCCAATGCGGGACTCAATCCTGGGATTCCGGGATCGTGACCTGAGCCGAAGGCAGTCGCTTAACCTGTAAGGGCCTATTTAGCCGGAGCGGCCCCACCTCGGTTGAACAGCCATTTTGTTGTTCATGCAGTAATACTTAAACTGACCCCCCCCCCAACCAGTCCCAGGTAACAAAGCCCAAATACAAGGGTGGGTCAGGCCAGGTGGAGGTAACAGCCCAAATGCAGGGATGAGTCGGGTCAGGTGGAGACATTCAATCAGTAAAGCGCGCATACTGTCTCCCTAGCTACCAAGGAGTGTGGGCCCCACCTTTTAAAGGGCTCCAATTCTGACCAAGGTGATAGGCTAGTTCAAATAGCTACTATGGGGTGAATTGTAATTCAGTTGGCCACCCGTGTGTGACCTAGCATGACTGTGCAGCTTTCTCTGTGTGTTGCAATCTCATTGGCCACCTGTGCGTGGCCAGGCCCAACCACATGGCCTTTGCTCTATAAAAGTTAGTCTGTGGGGCACCTGAGTGGCTCAGTGGGTTAAAGCCTCTGCCTTCGGCTCAGATCATGAGCCGGATCTGGGATCAATCCGCATTGGGTGCTGGGATCGAGCCCCGCATCGGACTCTACGCTCGGTGGGGAGCCTGCTTCTTCCCTTCCTCTCTCTCTGCCTGCCTCTGCCTACTTGTGATCTCTGTCAAATAAATAAAATCTTTAAAAAAAAAAAAAAAAAGTTAGTCTGTAAGGCAGGGAGGGGTTGCCCTCTCTGTAAGAGACGGCTCCAGACGGTCAGTTTGATTCTTGATGCTTGGCGCAAAATAAAGCTTTGCTTGACCTTCGCTTTTTATCAGTCTTGCTCCTTTAATCACGGACCCATTATTGGGGGACCTTTCAAACCAACTGAGCCACCCAGGCGCCCCACTTAGGATAAATTCTTAAGAAATAGAATGGCTCAGTTGAAGGATATGGACATTTAAAATGTCAATTTATGGAACCAACTACCCTTAAGAATGTTAACTCCTGCCAATGGCACATGAGATTACCTACATTGCCAGTAATACTGTGTTGTATGTTTTTCATTTCCACATCTGACAGGTGAAAAGTGGTCTTGTCACTATAATATGGTAGTTGAGAATGTGACTCTGATAGATGTGATGTGATACGGCATATGACTCTGGAGCCCATCTGCTGGGGCCTGAATTCTGACTCAGCCACTTAACTGTGTGACCTTGGGTAAGTCATTTAATTTCTCTCTCAGTTTCATCTTTGATAAGGTAAGCATAATGATAGCACCTGTTTCAGGAAGAATAAGTCAATTAATCTAAGTAAAATGCTTCAAATAGTAATGGAGACATGCAAATCAGTAAGTAGGACTTAATATTTTTTTATATTAAAGATTGAACATCTTTTCAAATGTATTTTGGACATTTATGAATTTTTTTAGTCACTTATTCATGTCTTTTTTTTTTTTTTTTTTTTTTTTAAGACCTTTATTTATTTGACAGAGACATAGCCAGAGAGGGAACACCAACAGGGGGAGGGATCACAAGCCGGGGGAGTGGGAGAGGGAGAAGCAAGCTTCCCGCTGGGCAGGAAGCCTGATAAGGGGTTCCATCCCAGGACCTGGGGTCTTGACCCGAAGACAGATGCTTAACAGGAGGCACCCAGGTGCCCCTGTTTTTTGCATGTGTTCCCAGTAATGTTTTCTTAATAATTTAAAAGAGGTAAAGTACTGACTATAATATATAACAGAATTGTTCCTAGTTTATCATTTGTCTTTTGACTGTGTTTATGCAATTTTTTTCTCTTGGGAAGTTTTATATTTTTAGGTAGTCAAAATAATCTTTTTTCTTACAGTTTTTCCTGCTGCTAGGTCATTGTTTAGAAAAGGCATGTCTCCCTACCTCAAAAACATAAAAAATGGTTACTCATTCTCTTTGAGTACTTGGTGTGTGTGTGTGTGTGCGCGCACCTTCTTTTAATTCTTGAAATTTAATCTTTAAGTCTTTGATCCTTCTGGAATTTATTTTGATATGAAGATAGCAGTTGAGATCTGGCTCTATTTCTTTTCAGTTGTGTACTGCCCCAGACCTGTTTATTAAAGAAGAAAGACCAGGAGCCTTTAATCTCTTCTCCCCTCCCCTAATCTGAAAGTAAGATAATAGGAGATCTCCATTTTGGAGAATGAATTTCATGTTTGGACTCAGTCATTCAGTTGCTTAGCTGTGGGATGAATATGCTGTGTAAAGCAGTTTGGGACCAGAACTCACAGCCTGACTAAGCGATGAAACTGCTGCATTCCCTAGTGTAGCTTCCCTGCTGGCTCTTCTCTGGAGGCGCCTTCTAAGTGCATCTTAGTTTGAGGGCTGCTCTGAAGGGCTATTGTTAGTTTGGAATGACAGTTTTTGCCTTCTTCAGAAACAAATGAAGAGATTATGGTGGATATTTCCTTACTCCAGCCTGAGAGTATTGGTGGGGTGTTGATGGGGGCCATTGAATGGTAATGAACACATTGTGTTCCACCTGTGCCCTCATCAGCTCTTTTTGGAACACTTTTTTTTTCCATCTAATTTCTTCCCTCTAATCAAGATGGAGGGAGAGGAATTCCTCTATAACCGAGCTCTCTCATATCCCATGGCAGCTGTCATTTGCCAAAGATGTTGAAGAAGGGTAGCTGACTCTTACATGGCATATGTTATGTGCCAGCAACTGTTCCAAGCACCTTACATATATAAAGTCTTTATGAGATTGGTTCTCTGTACTGAGTTGCATAGTGTCCTCCCCAAAATTCACATCCACCCAGAACCTATGAATGTGATCTTATTTGGAAATAGGATCCTTGTAGATGTAAGCAGGTTAAGATGAAGTCATACTGGATTAGGATGGGCCCTAATCCAGTGACTGGTGTTCTTATATGAAGAGGGATATGTTATGCCCCAATAATGGGTCCGTGATTAAAGGAGCGAGACTGATACAAAGCGAAGGTCAAGCAAAGCTTTATTTAGCACCAAGCATCAAGAATCTTACCGAACGTTGGAGGCCGCATCTCTTACAAGAGAGGGCGACTCTTCTCTGTTTCACAGTCTAGCTTTTAAGGGCAAAACCATGAGGTCGGGCCTGGCCACGCACAGGTGACCAATGAAATTGTGACACACACAGGAAACTCCACAGTGATGCTAGGTGACCAGCTGAGTTACAATTTACCGTAGTAGACATTTGACCCAGCCTATTACACCTTGATTAGGATTGGTGCCAAAAGGGTTCCAAATGGTGGGGGCCCCCTACTCCTTGGTAGCTAGGGAGATAGTATGCAACCCCCTACTGATAGGATGTCTCCACCTGGCCTGACCCACCCTTATGTCTGGACTTTTGTTACCTGAAGCTGGTTTCCGGGACTTGTTTTTAAGTGAATCCCCTGGGGGTAGGGAAGCAGGGACAGTTTAACTTTAATAAAAGCCTCTTGCTAAATAGGTCCTTACAGGATACATAGAGGAAGATGTCCGTGTGAAGATGGAAGCAGAGATTGGCGTTGTGCTGCCACAAACCAAAGAATGTCAAGGATTACTGGCAACCACCAGAAGCTGGAAGAGGCAAAGAAAGATTCTCCCCTGGAGCCTTCACAGGGAGCATGGTCCTGCTGAAACCTTGATTTTGGACTTCTAGCCTCCAGAACTGTGAGAGAATAAATGTCCTTTGTTGGAAGCCACTAACTTTGTAGTGTTTGTTATAGCAGCCCTGGGAAACCAACACATGCTCTTTTATTATCTCCATTTTCAGATAAGAAAATAGGCCCAGAGAGGTCAGGTACTCTGAGATCTGTCTAGGCTGCTGCTCTGCTGGCTGGACACTTACTCTGAAGTTCCTGATGTTGCTGTTGTCAGCTCTGCACCTTCGCAATGGCCATCACACCTTCTGGTAGTGCTGGCACTGAGCTGCTGGAATGGCTCCTTCTCTAACACAGCAGGCCACAGCCTTTCCCCCATTCTTGCCCATTTCATGCCCTAAAGCCAAAACTCCTCTCAGGGGCTTCTGGCTGTAGCCTGATCATTTCAGCAGGTTGCTTTGTGGCCCCACTCTTCCAGGTGAAATCAGGCTTTTATTTTTCATTTCCACGCAATGTCAGAGAAATGTGGGTGACAGTTGTGGGGAGGGTCACTCAGCTTCTTCTGGCAGTTATTATAATGCTTCCCATTTCTGGTCTGCTATACTTCCTAGAATTCCTGTCAGTAGGCAACTCATGTCTTGATCGTTTTTGGAGCTTCAGGGTGTCTCACACAGCTCACATGGCACATACCAGTTCATGGCTGTGAGCAGAGAAGCAGCAGCATCATGACTGCATTGACTCTGAGGGCCCTGGTCACCTGTTCTTGATTAACCCAACATACTACAGTGGCTCTCTTCTCTGCCAAATGAGCGGAGGGGATAAGGATGTTATCTGACCCAGCCCATCCCCCTAAACAGCAGCTCCTTGTTTGCCCCTGGCCTCTTTTGCTGGCATCCCAGAAGGGATCTCCTCCCTTGGCATCCCATTGCTGGCTGCAGAATCTTGCCTACTTTCCAATATGAACCTTTTGCTTTGGATCCTGCTCTTACTCTTTTCTGTTTGTTTGTTTTAATTTTATTTACTTACTTTGAGAGAGCGAGAGAAAGCACGAGCAGGGGTAGGAGAAGAGGGAGAAGGACAAGTGAGAGAAAGTGTGAGCAGGGGGAAGAGAAGAGGAAGAGGGACAAGCAGACTCTGTCCTGAACGCGGAGCTGGAGGTGGGGCTTGAGATCATGACCTGAGCCAAAACCAAGAGTCAGATGCTCAACCTACTAAGCCACCCAGATGCCCCAGTCCTGCTCCTATTCTTAACAACGCTCACAAGACTGAGCTCTAGGAACTCAGGAACCATATTTATTTTGTTTGCCGCTGTATCCCAGGACTGAGCAAAGACCTGACACTTCTCTAGGCCCTCAAGAAGTATTTATTGAATGAAGAACTGAATATTGACCTTGAAGCTTTGGAATCCTGGTTTTCCTTGCTTCTTGATAAAGCCAGCAACCAGATTAAGAACTTCAGAGGCCTCAGCAATAGAAAGATTATGATGTCCCTCATATTTTCAGCCCTCAATATGTATTTGAAAAACAATATTTAACACAGAATCAGTATAAGGAAATTGAGCAAACTATAAGGAAAGTCTAGCAAAGTTCTGTTTTTTATCATGGTGACTAATTAGATAAATATAATTTAAAATATTTGCAATTACTGTCTCTGCTTTGCCAGTTTTCTAAGCACATGCTTTTGGATAATCCTGCCTGGACCAGTCCTTTCCTCCCTTTGGACTTCATTTCGTCTTTATTCCATCTGCTAAAGTTGCCAGCCAGTCCCTTTCACCCCTGTAGGGGTGTCTGGCTTCTGAGACCCCCCAGCCTAGGCTGAATGCCCTGGGCTCACTGAGGGCTTGCCAAGAAAGTCAAGTAGAACATGCACACTGCTAAAGAGTACCTCAGGGAACTTGCATGCTGGGTTACTATTTATAGTCAACATAGTGCATTGTGCCAAGTGATTACACTTGGGCCATTTTTAGTTGTAATAATCTGCTTCTGTGATCCTGTATGTGGAAACCCCAGAAAAATATCCCTTTGGTCCTCCTTCCTGCATCACTGAGAAGATGCAGTCCCACTCTGCCATTAATTAATCTCTGTTATTCTGGCTTTGTTGAAACCATTCAGAGGAGCAAGGTATGATTCTGGAAGTGTAGAGCCCAGGCCTCCTACAGGCTATTCCAAGGCTGTGACCGTAATCAACTCTGTTGCTGTTTCATTTCAAAGAGCTTAAAATAGTGTTGGAAACTTCCTAGGAAAAAAGCACCACTGTAACTTCTTGGCTAAGGAAGCAGTGTGTGCTGGCCAGAGCAGAAGCAATGGCCAAGGTCCCAAGTTCTTTTCTGGACCTGTTGATTTGGGGTGTGATATTCGACAATCTGAGATGCTGTCCTATAGCTCTGATGGTTCATCTTCAGCACAGAGAATGATGTGGGCCATGCCTGTAGAGAGAGAGGCTGACATTGGTCCCCTGTGATCTAGGGGAGCCTCATCATTAGATGTCCTTTCTTTCATTTGAATTTCTAGTTCTTTTTAAAAATTTTAAAAATATTTTATTTATTTAGAGGTGCCTGGGTGGCTCAGTTGTTAAGTGTCTGCCTTTGCCTCAGGTCATAATCCTAGGGTCCTGGGATTGAGCCCCACATTGGGCTCCCTGTTCAGGGAGAAGCCTGTTTCTCCCTCTCCCTGTGCCTCTGCTTGTGTTCCCTCTCTCCCTCTCTCTCTGTCAAATAAATAAAATCTTAAAAAAGGAAAAAAAAAAAAAAAAGCCAGGATTCCAGAATCAGCTGACCTTGGAAATCTAACTCGTGTTTTTAAAAAAAAAAAAAAAAAAAAAGGTTTTATTTATTTAGAGAGTGAGAACAAGTGAGGGGAGAGGCAGAGAGAGAGAGGGAGTGAGAAAATCTCAAGTAGATTCTACACTGAGCACAGAGCCTAATGCAGGGCTCCATCTCACCACCCTGAGATCATAGCCTGAGCTGAAATCAAGAGTCTGATGCTTAGCTGACTGAGCCACCCCAAAAAATTTTTTAAAGGTTTTTATTAAGTAATTTCTACACCCAGTTTAGGGGCTCAAACTCACAACCCTGAGATCAAGAGTTGGTGTGCACAGAGTCAGCCGGGCCCCCCTCTAGCTCTTCTTCTTCTTTTTTTTTAAAAAGATTTTATTCATTTATTTGACAGAGAGACAGTGAGAGAGGGAACACAAGCAGCGGGAGTGGGAGAGGGAGAAGCAGGCTTCCTGCCAAGCAGGGAGCCTGATCTTGACTTGATCCCAGGACGCTGGGACCATGACCTGAGCCAAAGGCAGATGCTTAATGACTGAGCCTCCCAGGTGCCCTAACTCTAATGTAATGTAGAAATCCTCCCCCTCTTCCGCAGAAGTAATATAGTATTTCTTTTTTTTTTTTTAAAGATTTTATTTATTTATTTGACAGAGAGAGATCACAAGCAGAGAGGCAGGCAGAGAGAGAGGGGGAAGCAGGTTCCCCGCTGAGCAGAGAGAACCCGATGCGGGGCTCGATCCCAGGACCCTGAGACCATGACCTGAGCCAAAGGCAGAGGCTTTAACCCACTGAGCCACCCAGGTGCCCCTACAGTATTTGTTTTTTTTAATGAAAGATTTTTATTTTATTAATTAATTAATTTATTTATTTGACGGACAGAGATCACAAATAAGTAGAGAGGCAGGCAGAGTGAGAGAGGAAGGGAAGCAGGCTCCCTGCTGAGCAGAGAGCCTGATGCGGGGCTCGATCCCAGAACCCTGGGATCATGACCTGAGCTGAAGGCAGAGGCTTTAACGTGCTGAGCCACCCAGGCGCCCCGAATTAATACAGTATTAATACCTACATTTTACTTGAATTCGTTTCATCAGAATTGCTTTGTAGTGTGATTAGATCAGTTCTTTCCCCCCCCCCCCCAAGATTTATTTGAGAGAGAGTGAATGAGCAGGGAGAGGGAGACAAATAGACTCCCTGCCCAGCAAGGAGCCTGATACGGGTCTTGATCCCAGGTCTCAGAGATCATGACTGGAGCTAAAGTCAAGGGTTGGACATATAACTGACAGAGCCACCCAGGTGCCCCTAAATCAGTTCATCTAAGGGATGCGAACTTTAATAAGGTTTAGGAAAAGAAGGTTAGGTTTGTGTGGGGCACATACCTTGGCCTTGGATAGCCAGAGAGTAACATTTGGGCACCAGGTGCATGGTGAGCCAGATGGGAGAGAACAAACTCTTATCCCTGGAGAGCCAGGCATGTATTAGATGCTTTTCATATATTTTCTTATTTAATTATCATAATGCAAACCAATAAAGTATCATCTTCACTTTTGCACATGGGCAAGCTAAAGGTCAAAGAAGTTATGTAACTTGTCCAAGGTCAGATAGCTAATAAAAGGCTGAGCTAGGATTTATTTCTCCTCAGGTCTGTCCAGTTCCAAAGCCTATGTATGCTGTTTTCACAGAGCTCTTCTGTCTCTGACAAGATTTGGGGAGAGGAGAGAAGATGGAGAGATGACATCTTTCTCTACCTCACAGTTTTACTCGTTGAGATGTGTTTAGCCAGAGCATCCTGTTTATAGATGCTAGGTTCTATATATAGAGACGCTGCAACAACATATGTGGGAAGGATACCAATTGGCCGTAGGGGAGGATTAAAAGAAAGCCTTTGTTCTTTACCTGTAAGTTTTCATTGCAGTGTAATCTACAAGTGTCAAAACACCACTGGTGACTCAGAGGCCCTGTCCTGTTCTCCAAATAAAATTTGTTGATATGTCCCAAGGAGTAAGCCATGATGGGGGCAGAGGTGAGGGTGTGGTGTGCCCTTACTGTATGTTCTGGAGCTGGTGACACCTGTTATGTGACTATTACAGTGAATTATTACTGAGTAAACGAGAGGTGTCTCTCTTTTGCCTTTCTAAGGGAGACCAGATGGCATTGGATGCTGGCCCAGGTCCAGGGGAGCCTGGCCTCTGGGCTGACAGAGGAGACAGCTTGAGTGTGTCAGGTGATGGACTAAGAAGAGACAAAGCTGGACTGTCAAGTGGAATCATTTCAGGGGCACCAAAAATGTGTGTTGCCCCTCAAAGACTTGCTTTAGCTCTTTGCTAGTGTTCGGAATTCCACAAGTGAAATTTATTTCCCTTGATTTAAGTCTTCGAGAC